AAATAATTTGAACTTTATAACCTTATAATCCGATATTGTCATAGAAGAGTAATATTTTTTTAAAACTCTTTACAACATTATTTAAGAATTTAATACTTAATTGACAGTTGCGTTAATCCTTTAATGGCCAGATACAAGATCTCCAAAGAAAATGTTATTTTTTTCCTTTTACAATTTTTCCACAAATTTCTCGTTTCTTTGCTAGTATTTTGCTACGCGCGACACCAGGGCTGTCTAGGCAAAGGGCCCCGAAAGGGTCTCTCGAAGTAAATTTGGGGGAGTACGCGTTATAACGAAACTTTTCCTCTTCTTAATGCGATTTCTCGGGTGTTAGAAACGCTTTGCCTTACTCTTTTACAGGGTAAGAAATGTATTTTAAAACGTGAAAAAATATTCTGATGTGAGTTCGTTTTGTACCTGGTATATATTATAAATAAATATATCAATTTAAATTTGTTTTATGTAAGTTATATCGAAGTTTTAAAGTTAAAAAAATTGTCATTGTTTTATCGTAAATAATTTTGGTTTCTTATATTTAGAGTAACTCCTGAAGAAGAGGAAAAGAAATCATCGTAAAGCAGGGATAAAAAAACAACTTTATAAACGAACAGAATATTTTAATAAAATTGTTTAATCTAAATTATGGTTTCTGGTTGTCTCTGCTTTCAATGGTTTTAAAAAAATCACTGTCTAAAAAATTGTGAACAAAAAACCTAAATAGAAACTTAACGACAGTGATGGATAATTTTGAATTAGTCAGATATTTAGAAAAGTTCATTATTTATATGACTTACAGGTAGTTTTTTGCCTCTAGGCGGTTCTTTCTTTCGCGGGTATCTTTTCAAGTTGCAATACAACAATAGGACTGCCGCGAAGCGACAGGTTAAAATTCTTAGAATAACTTCTCAATGTTCGGAGATGTTATAACTGCATGACACGTAGTTTTATTGGTCGAATTTGTGTTGATATTTTAGCTTTAAAACAATTTTCGCACCTAATGTTCTACATTCCTGGAGCATGGTGTCTTGTCTCCAGACTCCGTATGTGTTTCTGTTCTTTCTCCTGCCTGAATATTGACGTACTGCACAACACTGCCACACATGTCTGGAAAGTTAGCTAGCCGGGAGCTTACAGCTTGTGGGGGTTAGGTGGTTGGGTAAGGTCCCGCAAGCTGACATGTATGTCGGCCGGGATCTCACTGTCCAGCGGGGGAAGACCACCGCCACCTCACACTTGCAGCTCTAACTACCCTAGCAGTTGACTGACATGAAAAAATCAATCATCCTAACTCGTATTGTGACGGTTCAGAAGGACTGGTCGAAAAAGTATCAATGGCATAAACAAGTGACTGTGAGAAAGCGCAAAGACATTTATTTATTATGTGAAAGTGTCAAACTAGCAAAATCTATTCAAACTGATATAAAATAGTGAACAAGGCATATCAAAGAACGACCAGGAACAAATATGTATCAAGTTGTTCGAAGTAAATTTTAGAAAATTATCACGAGACAAGTGAACATAGTATAAGAAACCTATGTAAGTGTGAAATTGTTAAGTGTTAAATTGGAAAGACATTAAAAAACATAGGGAAATTATGAGATATTTAGGTTATTAATTTACATACATTGTATAATAAGACATAAGGAAAAAACTAGAGAGAAAATGCAATTTTCTGGGAAAAAATATACAAGTAAAAATGAAGGTGAAGAACAACATTTGATTTTCGGAACTTGGAGTGAGGAGAAGAACGTGGCTCAGAATGGGTTTGAAATCGGTCGAGATCAGATGGAATGAAGGACGCCGTGTTATGATACAAAGTGTAGTACGAGAATTGATGGAGGTCCACCTAATTTTGCGCAGCGAAAAATGAAATATGGAATGAACTCAAAAGTGGTCATAATACGGAGATGAAATGGAGTTGGTTATAGCTAATGGACACACGCCAGGCAGTTACAGAAGGCATCGAAAATGGATCTGCTCATTTTAGACTTTTTATTTGATTCAACATTATACCATGCATTAGTGAGTTTTTTTGTTGAAAATATTAAGAGTGAATGTCTTGTAAATATGTTTTCATTTTGTTTGAGGGAATAAATATATGTTTTGTGTTATGTGCGCTATTTGTATTAGCCAGGAGAGGCGGCAACGACGCCAGGTTGCGAATACATGAAATTTGCATCAGCATTTGGCGGTGGCAATAATTGTTAGAAATTATTTCCTGTGTTTTATTAAATTGGGAAAGACCAAATTACGGACCACATCCTAGCAATCGATGGTAAATCCCTGTGTCCTGTATAGGAGGGGCTCGCGCCCTCACGACACAAAATAAATTTCGTAGACGACCCATCGTTCTATTCGGTGCGTGTTTGTTAATTCGTAGTTATAAATACGAAGAATAAATATGAATAGATATATTGCTTATATTATGATTAGTACAGGGATTTGCAAACCGTCTCAGTATAGAAAAGTATGTGATAAGCACGTCCGTTTTCCCGTTTCATCAACTTCTTCAGCCTATTATTGAGCATTTTGACCAAAATAAAAATCTGTAATTTCCCAGCGTCCACGTTCGTCTATTTAAATCTAATAATGCGCTTCTGCACTTCATGAACGTCACTTTTCTACTAATTGATTACGGTCTCGTAAATGATTCACCTCACCATCTAGTACAATGTATTAAAGTTATATGTATATGTATATATTATATGTATTAAAGTGGAATGCTTTTACACGACCGGAAGTGTTAACCCGTTATGTGAACATATTACTGGCCAAATACGGCATGTGCTTTTGTTGCTCTCTCAAGTTTGACTATATTTGCGACCGTAGCTCCTGCATCTTTGAATAAGTTGCAGATTTCTGCTCTGTATAGGACACGTAATAATTTTAGTTATATTTTGCAGATTGTCTGGGTTTGTCATGCGATTGATTCGTAGTTCCTTCAGCTCGCTTAAAAATGGTGCAAACAAGTACATTGCGATATTTCCGTCCTTTTCACATTACAAACAATAAATTGTATATTACATCGGAGGATATCTACATATTTATATATATATATATATATATATATATATATATATATATATATATATATATATATATATATATATATATATACACACACACACACATTCTTTTTTATTCTCGATTTTTTAGGTTTTCAGAAAGAAATTCGATATGTCCAAAATAGCAACCGATAATAATAAATAATAATATCGAAGGGAATAACAATCAATAATGATGTTATTGCTTGTTTTTGCTTTCCATACGGAGCTCGTTATACTCTGAATAACAAACTGGAATCGAGACAATCGTGGTTACGAGAAAAATATGAAAACAGTTGAAGCTACTTGCTCTCTTAAGGGGAGGGGGGGGGTACGAAATGATGTAATGGGAGGGAAATATGATAAGGCAAACTCAGTCAAGCCAACGTCTAATTACTTAATAAACATGTAAATCTAGTTACTGTTCTAATAATCGAGCAGCTGCGAGTTAATACCACCTTTCAGATATAATTCCATACACGTGAGGTGTATCTTGGCAAAATCATTTCAACTAAGTCAGTTAACATTAGTTTTAGCGGTTCCACTAGTAAATGTAGCATTACAGCTGATACAAAAACATTTAGTAAAATTAATATTCTATTATATCAAGCTCCCATATTACCTGAAGTATTGTCAGATGAATACTTAGCTCACTTTCACTTGGAATCGATGTCTTGCATTGTTTTCTATGCATTTATATTAGTATAAATCGTTAAATTAGATATTGTCACTTTCCATAAGTATGTATCACATGTATTTGTTGCTTAAATTTATACGAATATAGCGCATATTATCCCTCTGACTCAGAACGTGACCTGCTAAACACCAATACATATATACTTGCCTACTATCAGGGGAACATTATAATGATCCTCCCGAAGGTAAGCTTCAACCACGCCGCTGGGTACATGTTTTATGAGAATCCAAATTTTGGCAGGGTTATGATAGATTGCTTAACACGTCACCTGATTTTATTGTTCTGAGCTTATGATAATATAAAAATTGTAGAAAATAATACAAAAGTTGTAAATTAATAATTTATGGATACTGGGCTTGTCATCTTAAGGAGTAATATATCCCCAGCAATATTGTTAAATTGTAAAAAGATCTTCTTGTATATATATTACAACCACAACTTTATGTCATTGCTTAGAAGTTTTAAGTTGCTTTCAGATGGATGATGGCTGTCAGAATAAATTTCTCTAATTGTGTTTTTTATTTCCCGTTTTTTATCTTAACAGAATTCTAAATTGTTTCGGTCATTTGTATTAAGTCATGGAACTTTTTTTTAAGTGCCAATATTAGTAATATCACTAACATTAGAATGTACAACAGTTGTAAGAAGAAAATAATAATATTTTTGTGCAAGGAAAACTGTTAATAGCATTGCACAATTTCTACAACAAATTTTGTCAATGAGTGTCTTCCTCTTCTTTTTGATTCATTTGGGTTTAAATCTAAATTGACAAATGAATAATGATAATATGTCATACATAAATGAGTTTTTACAAGAGAATGAAAGGCAAGAAAGTTTGAAATCATTGATTTCCAAGAAGTCTTTTCACTACATTGACATTCCAACTTTTTAACACAATTCTATGTACATTACGAATATTTGAAATGATAAGCTCTGAATTGCGAGCTGTGCAGTGCTATGAGTTGGGTACCCATTATTGAGCAGCAGATTTGGAATACTTTGCTTTGCTAAGGTCTATTTTAGGGCATGAATCAGAAGGGTCTCAAATCAAACTGACACTCTTTGCAACTTGCAACATCCCTGATTACAAAAACAGAAGAAAATTAATTCAGTAAACTATAATTACTACTTTAAATTCTCAATAATAAATGTAAGAAAATAAATGCCAAAAATATATGAAAACAAAATAAACAGAAAAGAATCTATATCAGAATAAAATTTGTATTCATTTTTAGACAAATTTTTATTAAATATGAATTCAATGTACCACATACCAATTATTTTAATTATATTTGCATTTTAAATAATGCTGCTACTATACTGAAAGAAATAAAGAAATTATATTTTCATAATTTGATACCTGATCACACACAGAACCTAATCCTTCTTCTGTAAATAAACACTAAAAAAAGGCATAGAATATGACAATAGATAATCTTTTCAGTGATAAATAATGAAAATACCTTTTAATTAAAGGATTTAGTTTTTTTCCATTATTTTAAAGAAAATATTTTTTTCTGTAATTAAAATTAATTGTTATTACCTTTGTTCACATATGTAGAGTGCTGCTCCTTGTCAAGGCTTTTGTCACACTCGCCATTCCCTGCTTAAGGCACTGACTCTCTACAATCCACATTGCTCACTCAATGACTACAAGGACTACAAGGGCTACATCAGAGCTACAATGGACTCTCAGTCCTAAGTATTTTAGGGCCCAGTACAACTATAAATATTTAGTCAGAAGTTTAATATACGTAAATGAGTTCATGTACGAATGTCACGAATACGAATTTCATGTTTTTCCAAGGCAAAATATAATTTTGTTAATTAAAAATTATTGTCATTTAGCTTTTCTTTCACAAATTTAAAATGCAGAAAGGAGGCCCTTTAGTGGGAATGTTCGTAGCACACATACATACAGTGCTCTACATACTTGCATTGGTGTCATTTTTATTGAAACTGAAAATACTTCTTTTAACAGAAAAAATATTCATGAGTGTCTATACATGACATATTGATAGTGGATGGTTTTCAAAAGAGTAATTCTTAAAATAAAAAAATCATATTTTAATCAGAAACCATAGGACCTATTTAAACTGATGACAAATTTTAATTATCTCCTGAACAATGTTCACTTGTTGGAATACAACATGGGAAGGAAAGAAAAAAGAAGATATCGAGGTATTGTTTTCACAAAAAAGAAAATAGGTATATAAAACAAAATATATTTGAAAATTACATATACATGACAAAAACTTTTCCTGCAAATAATGATACAGAAAGCATTATGATGATAGTTGTTATAATATTTTTCATGAGCAATCATTTAAATTGTTATTGGAATGGAGTTTGGCATTTATACCATACTGGATCTTTCTTATCTAAAGAATTATTCAGTTTTATGCTACAAAATCCCCTTCCAAAAATGTAGGAGTTTGACTTCCTTAGGTTTTAAAATGTGTGTTTTTAATAGACTTAATTAAGTTATGCTAAGCATACTTTCATTAGAGATTTCATTATCAAGGAATTGAATCTTAAGATGCTGAGCTCATGCCTCACATTAGCAGATGATCTCACTATTTTGCGAGAGTAAAGCATGGGTCATGCAGAAAGATAACACTAAGCTATTTAAGACTTGTGGATGATCTGCAATGTGTATGTCATGTTACATTTCAGTTAAGAATATGGACATAATCTATACAAAATCCATTTGCGCTGCGTTTCAATTGCATATGTTCAATGACATTAAAGTTGTAAAATTTTATTTTTCTCCATAATTCAGAGACTTTGAGAAACATTTGTTGGAAGAACTCAAAGATTACCAAACTGATGCTCATGCTTGCACTGGGTATCAAAACATTTTTTTCTTATTATTTCCTATCAAAAGAAATGTTGCAAGTATGTACAATAAATATTAGTATTATGTGTAAATTCCAAATATTACATCAATGCAATGGAAATGCAGTGCATTTCACACATCTGTGCAATGAAAAAGTGCTGTGCAGGATTGAAGATACTTGGATGTGCACAATGAACACCACTCTGTGCTAATTCTTGAAAGTTCCCAAGAAGGTTCCACAGGCTGGGCAGTGGTGATTGGCATTCTGACAGCTGTCCATACAGTACGGCAAGCACACACACGGCCAGCACCTAGTAATATTTACATAAAAAATGAAAATGCCAGAAATAAACATCAATAATACAAAATAAAGTTACAGTTGAAGTTCTTTTTTTGATTTAATCTTTTCTATGAATCTGGATATTAATTTCTCCATAAAAAACAGAATTTATTGTCGTAATATCTCTAAAAAAATTATTTGAATGATAATTATAAAGTCATCATAGTATTGGCAACTGTACAATAAATATTTTGAGATTTGTACAATAAAAATGTAAATTGAAAATATTTTTCAATTATAGTTATTTTTGTCACAAAACATCCTCCTGAATATATAGTTCAACTGTATTTCTTTTGAAAATTTCAATTTTTAAGGCTCTGATTGTTTCTATTACTATGAACTAATATTTTGAAGTGCCTTAATTTGAAATGGCTATTGAAAAAGATTCTTCAAAATTAAATTAATCAGAGATGAAGTGCTTCTGATAGATATTTTAGATGCTCCAAATGTTAATATGGCCATAGATATTAAAAAACTTAAATATTTTCTTAACTTTTAACTTTTTGAAGGTAAAATTGCAAACACTAAACCACTTTATAAACTAATTAAGTAACGTGTTGAGGCATGTTTTGTATGAAGGGAATGACCCAACATATTTACACATAATATAATAAATAAGTATAATATATAATAAATATGTTTAATATAATTCTATAACAAGATGGTATAGAAATTATACAAATAAATAAAATACGTTTTAGACATTTTTCCAGTATTTAATGTTTTGAGTTACAGTGTTTATTAATCCAATTGGTGATAATTTTTGTTCTGGAATTTTTGTACAGAAGGGATCAACTATATGTTAATGCAGGGCCAGATTGAATACGTTTTGGGGACTTAAGCGTGAACAAACTAAGAGAAACCATAATATATTGAAAAAATAGAAAATAAGCTATCAAAATGAATATGCAAATAAATCTATTACCTTTGCAAAATGAAAATGTAGAATAAAAATAATAAATATAATGTATGTACAATTTAAAATAATTTAGCCCACTTTTACTCTTGCAAAAATTAAAAACTCATTATCAATCTTTTGAAACCTGAAGTAAATTTATTCAATTTGTTTTATAAATAATCAACTTATTAAACAATATTTTTACATAAATAAAATTAATAAATGTAAAATGTCTAATGAATAAATTATAAAAATAATATTATAAACTACTGTTAAAAATACTGGAGAACGCTATCCAGTAAGCTAAACTCTTGCTGAGTCTGCTTGTGAATTATTCTACCCTTGAATGAATGAACGACATAATTTATTGTTTCATTCCAATTGAAATTTTGCTGATGTTTTTTGAAAACTTTTACTAAAATGAAATATTTTAATACTGGCTTGGATAGCCGAGGTTGCTAAGGTTGGAGAGTCGAGGCTGCCATGCCTCGAAGTATGGCGGGTTCGAATCCCGTCTTAGGCATGGATGTTTGCGTGTGTTTATGTTGTCCTTATGTGTTCCCCTTACAGTTACCCCATTGTTAAAAATCACAGTGGTTACTATATGACCAAGCAACCTCAAATAAATTTTTACAAAATTAAAATACTGGGCTTTTCTCCAATTTGCTTCATTAAAAAATAGTTATTTACCATTGTTACTTGAATCTGATATTCCTAACCATCAAATGATTAAAAGACAAAATTAAATTAAATCACTAAAAGTATTTAAAAATATAAATAACCAGTAACTGATTAAGAAATAATTAACTGAATAATAATTAAAAATTAACAGATAACAATAAATGAGTTATCTGTTTCCCTACAATTGTAAAAGTATAAAATAGTAATAATAATTAGTTGACTTAAAAATAAAGATATGTGGTTTCTTTTATTAATAAAAAAAATATTACAGGTTATTTTCAATAATTGAAAATTACCTTTTTTTTAAGATCGAAAAAAAAATTGTAGGTGCACTAGTAATAATAAAAAAATTTTAAAAAATTAAAAACAATAACAACATTGCTTCAAAAGTTGAAAAAAAAAAAAAAAAACTAACAATATCTGGAATATATTGATCTACAAGTGCAAAACATGATGTAATGGATTTATCCAAAACCTTTATTTGTATTGCAATGCTTAGGCTTTTTTGTACTTATTTACAGTGAAATGCAGAGGCAGTGTCCTTACCCAAAAAGGCAGAGCAGCAGAGCGATGATGTGTGTCTTGGTAGAACTCTCATGAGAAACACGCGTCTGGATCTGTGCATGGCACGAGGGGCATGTGATGTTGGCAGGAGAGGGCCCTAGGGGAGGGCCGCCCACTACAACTAAAAACAGAGAATCATATTGTTTTAGTTTGGTGTTACAGATGAATAATTGTTTTGTTACTGGGAAAAGCTTTCCATTGAATTAACTCTAAAGTTAGAAGAAAATAATATATTGCAAATGAATTATTAAGTACAAGGGCATAATGCAAATCAGTTTTCATTCAAGAAAGTTCTATAAGGGTAGGAATTTGATTTGTGTTTTGGAGTTCATACAATTTAAGTTTGATATGAAAATAATTATATAAATATGTAATTGATTAATACATATGTTTGTTAAGGACCTTGTTTTTCATTTTTAAGACAAGGTTAAAACGGAAATATCTGTTCAATATTCTACTGATTTGACAAAACCAACAATTTATATTTATCTCAGAAAATTACAACTACATACACATAGTAATATTCTATTTTATGTGAAATGATAATTTTGAATAATGTTTTTATTACCTACTTATGTAAATTCCAATATATCATTGAGAAAATGCACTAATAGAGAGAGGCATTTTGAGATTCTCCACCTGAGAAATCTCATCGTGAAAAGCTCTGACTTCTGATACTAATACTACTTCTCTCAAGTGTTAAAATGAATTTGTATGCAACTTTTGCTTACCCTCAGTAACATTAATTTTATTTTTGTTGATAATAAAAACTTGTATCAAAACATTGAATAGCATTGTACCATAGATGTGCACAGAAAAAAGGACTAGCCTGAAATTTTTGAAAAGTCCCCCCATAGCCTTATGTAATAGATGATTTTCCGCTTTAAATGGTTATTTCTCTGATTTTCACTTTATTGGCAATTTGGGAAATTGATATACATTTGGTTAAGAGTCTCTCTAAGACATCTTGCAACTTAATAAATTGTTTAAAATTAAATCAATTATTTATTAATTATTGTTTTATTAAAGTTATAACTTCATTCTTGTAGTTAGTTTTATTCATTCTCTAGTAAAATATGCTATAGGTGAATAAAAAATTTAATGGAAAATGAGGCTCAAATATGTGTCCCCCCCTCTTATTTTAGGCTGTGCATGCATATGCGACCTATTATCGTATGATGGTAATAACTGAGCCTTAATCAGAATCTTTTTTTTTTTTTTTTGGTTGACAAATGCTTTTCTTGTATTTTTTCGTTTCCATTTTTCTCGTGCAGAAATTCCATGAGGGGACGAATCCTCTCATACGAGTTCCCCTGGGACGGTGAGAGCCATCGTAGTCCGGAAACGACTGTTTGCTGTCTCGCTGTCGCGGAAAAGCAATTCAAGAGGAATGGAGTCAAAGCATGCACCAAATGGAATATTACCAAATCTCAATAAAACGTGTGCAGATTGCATTATTTCCCTATAGAATGTCGCTCGCATTTTAACTGTTTTTTTATGTTAAAAAACCACTATTGAATGTTTGTCTTTTGTACACTACCATTATGTTTAGAGCGATAAATGCCTTTTACGATTTTGTTCAAGTAATGGACAAAAATAAATGATTTGTGAGTAACTAGCTGTCACTAGAAAACGCGTCACTGAAGACAATAGCTTAGTGGATTACCTCGACTTTTCCTCTTCGCTATATTGCGGACTGCGTGGAGCAAAGGGTATGATCGCTATTTCCCATATCATTTCAGATAAAACCTGATAAGATACAAGTTACTATGCAATCATTATACGAAAGCAGTGCTAGTGGGAATAATTATGATTCTGAGTTCTAAATAATTTTTTAGAGTATCCGGCGAATCGGCAGTAGAAATGTGACAGAGTATCACGTTTTCTTGTAATGAATTTCAATGCAATGTTTTTACATTTTACATTTAAGGGACTGTAACTTGCGATTCTTTGCCCATTGTTTGTCGTTTGCTACTTATTTCAAATTTAGCAATTAGTGGAAATTGTTTTTAAAACATTCAATCTACTTTCTAGAAGTTCCTTGAACTCAATCGTCGACAACGGTCTAATAATTTCAACCTTTAATGGTAGATTACTTTGGCTGCGCGGAATAAAAGGCTCCAAAGAGACTTGAAACAGGGTCTAACAAGATCCTGTCTATAATCTCTCGTAAAAATAGTACTGAACACAACCATAAAAGGGATTTACACAAGCGCACTGCTCAAGAACAACAAATAAAATACACTCTATAACATTGCGAAAAGTAAACAGTGTAACAAAAATAATCTTCATGAATACTGCAGTAACAGAGTGCTGTTCCACAATGACCACTTACATAGCAAGTATTTAATTTCTCTACCTTCGAGCATTCTTTTCGCTTGCTGTCAACTGTGTCGCATGCAGTGGCGCACCTAGTATGAGAATTCAGTTGGTATGCGCAGTATGAAAGATTGCGGCTTAAGATAATCAAATATTTACTTTTTTCAATCAAAATCGAAACTGTTCCAGTCGTTTTGAATATTTTTCTTTGGTATCTAACAAAACAATAGACATCGATCACATGACCGAAGCCTGGTTTTCTTTCAATTTCTACGCGCAGCGAAAATTAGAAATAACATGGTATGCTGTTTTCTGAGTTCCTGGATATTTATCGAAACCATAGTCACAATGCACATGACTGGAAATTGCATAGTTTTCTTTCATTTCTGCGCACATTGAGAAATGAAAATACAGTTATGCATGCCCATTTCGGAATTATGTCCAATGCCCATTTAGCCCTGAAGAAGGTTGCAGTATGATGACCGTAACACTGGCTATACTGCCTAGGTCGCTGCGTTTCCCAGACTGCCAAAAATCTACCAAATCACCCAATTCGTTTGATCTAAGATTACTACCTGATCTGACAGGTGCTTGCGTTTTCTGTGGAACATTTAGAATCCATTTTGTCAGCAAAGTATTCCTATCATCCTCTCGGTAATCCTCTTTCACATTTAGGTCTCGTCACATCCAACTTTCCGGTCCTCAGGCCCATTTTGGCGTCGTGACAAATACTTAAATACTTATTTCTCTGAGGAAGGTCGCAGTATGACGACCAAAACTTTTGCAACTATGACCACAACCGGCGTCTTCCAGACAGCCAGAAATACATGGGGCACTTCCGATCGCGGAAGCCTAGGTTTTCTTTGGACATCGGTCAGTCTGAAAATAAGTGGTTACACTGAAACTCGCCGTTGCCATTTTCTCGGATCACTATTGCTTCAAGTTATACGTGATTTGTTCGCGAAAAAAAATTGCAATAAAGAATTATTATTATTATTATTATTATTATTATTATTATTATTATTATTATTATTATTATTATTATTATTATTATCATTATCATTACTACTACTACTACTACTACTACTACTACTACTACTACTACTACTACTACTACTACTACTTCTACTACGATTGGGGCTGTTGGCCTCACCTGCTACGGGCGGAGCGCCGGGCTGCATCTGCGGGTTCATCCCGTAGGGCGGTGGAGCGTCGGTCTTGGGATATTGGCTCATGCTGCAACACAAACATCGGACACCGTTAGTCACTCGCCTCTCAAATGTGCTAAGGTGGTTTCCAACACCATTCCAAAATAGCACAAAGGTTTTTTCATCATTCAAATTCTAAAAAATGCTTCAAATCTATCGAATCCAATCATTTTGCGACCGTAATTCACTATTCTGATAAGTCAAGTGTTTTATGTTTCTCTTAATTTATTAAACGTATATTTTCGTAACGTATTATTTAAGAACATGCATGAAGGATTCGAAAGTTTTTCGCGAACTCTCAACAGGCTGGGATAGGCAAGTGGCAGCACTGCTGTTGCCTCAGCAACGACTTTAACCGGGACATCTTAGGGTTCGAGACCCCGCAGTGGCGGATTTTCGACACTAGGTAGAGATCTAAATCGAATTCAGACGCTGTCAGGAGAAGAATTCTAGTGTCCGTCTGCCCCGATCAGTAGTTTTCGTGGTTTCTGCGATCAATTCCAGATGAACTGGCTACCTTCTCAAACGTGCCAAGAACCGCGATCTTTCTTGCCTCATCTTTGTCCCCTCCTCTCCCCTTACACACGCACACACTTACACTTATTGTCCGAATAATATTTCTGTCAACTTGACAAGTAGTGTGGGGGTAATGCGATGTTGCCACTTACTCGAACGGAGGTCACGTAGTCGTGTGGTCGTTCTCGCATCAGATCACAACAGTGGTAAAAACAAATTGCAATAACTGCACATACGATGTATAACCAAAGTAGTAATGGCACTCTTTAATGTACAGTTGCTTTGCGTTATAAGATTTCAATTTTTCATAATAAGTGTCGACAACTCAGTAGTAAAGTCAGCAGAATTTTAAGCCTTTGATTGGAAAACTGAACGCTTGTCCCCAGTTAGCCGCCAGCTGTCAAGTAGACAAAAATATCCTTCGAACTATGCATGCACCACACCACTACACGTGTTGGGGGCTAGCCTCGGCTGGGGCGGCGCCCCGCTGCGGGAAACACGCAAGCCCGAATTTCACAGCCACATTCCACTTTCTTATCATGGATTTCTCTTACGGGACTAATAATCATTGTAGATGACGCTCCATGAAACACTAAATCAATCAAGAATCATTAAGAGTCCGGATTTGTTTGCGGGAAGTTTAGGTTCGCCCCGCTCGAAACTCTTACGAATTAGGCCTGCAATATCGACCTAGTTATTGTAGATAAGAATACCAAATCAAGTAACCTAATTGAGGAGCCTGTCCGATTTAGTTGCGTGTGGTCAACTACATTTTCTATATATTTACTCTTAAGCGTTAGGAAAGGTGTATGGGATTCTCATCCGAATTTCACAATCCAAGTTTTAGAATGGCGAGTATTTAATTATGGTCATAAATATGAAGTTCGAGAATTTAGTAGGAGTACGCAAACCACATTATGATTATATTGGTATTTATTATTTTGGGTCATTTTATATTACGGCTTCAAAGTCTCATCAGATAATCAGTTTTCGGTGGACAATTCTTTTAATATCTTTGGTTCAGCTTAACTTTCGCTGGCAGGGTCGTTGATTTTTTGTTGTATTCGAAAGGCAAGTGGTCCATCTCCAGAGACGTTATTCTAAGTGTACGAGCATTTGATGGTGCACGTCAAAGCCGATACTTGTGCTTGAAAACGTGCTGGTTAGACACAATGACTCGAGAAAGATGTCGTTTGCATCTCCCCCAAACCAATTAGTAGAAGAGTGTGTGTTATTTCGTGACGAAAAACACTGTTGACGGATCGTATTCGGAAGTTAGGTTTTCAAAGAAGTGTAAATAAAAAAAAAGAAAGTGGGTCTAGGAGCGAAATATTACTTGGAATGTATAACCGAATTTTGTATTATCTTTGTAAACTTACACTTTTCTCTTGAGTTGAATCTTTATATCAAACCTAACAATTTTACTTTATTGATAATACTCATTTAATTTGAAATCTTGTATTGATTGGAAATGCATTTGTTTTCTATTATAAGATATATTTTGAACCAAAATAGGAAAAAATACCGTTCCTAACATTCCACAAAAATATTTTTTGTTTTACTTTTTCATTAGGAATTGAAGGGTTCATACGTAAAACATTCCAAGTCTAAACATTGTATTTTTTGTTTCTATAATTTTGTGCATATGTAGTACGTTCATTGTGACACCATAGTAGTTGCGGTTACATCTCATTGTTGAACTTGAGAGCGTTATCATTTTTATGTAACTCATTTTAACCCCTGTTCACTTGCTTAAATCTCAAAAGCGTTTCCGCGTGGATTATCACGTTCAATTTCCGAAACAATTAATGAGATCGCTGAAGAGTTTTAGTCAATTACGGTGATCGGAGGGCAACAGTGCCAGATCGAGGGCCGGTGATCTCTTAGCAGGTGAGGCCTACGAACTTCGCTGCCTCTCCCCTTCGTCGCCCCAGTGGGGCAGGAGGACTGGTGCATTTTAAGTGCTGCATTGCATAGAGTTCTTTCGTCTTTCCTGGAGTCATGAACAGTGGCGCAGCGAGAGAAAATCGGATAGGTGTACACGAGTACGAGAGCAGCAGTTTTTCTATGTGGTGACTCTATTGTGTACAAACCGCAGTTAAGACCTTGAACATCATTTAAAAAAAATATATTGGGTGAATAACTCAAAACAATCATTATTCAAAAAGTACAACACAAGTACATTCTAGCACAATAATGAATTATAGCGTAGTAAAACTCTTCTGGACGAGACATTTTTTCAGTCGCAACGGTTTAAGTGCCCAGCAGGAGGCTTCCATGCACTGCGCGCGCAAAATTTCTTCCGGAGAACGAAGCCTTTGAACGCAGATCGATGTAGATTTCTAATGTCCTTGGGGCTTATCCAACGTGACGTCTGCCTTCAGGTTTGAAAATCCCAGAATTGAGGAATGTTATTTTAATTAGAGAAAGTACTTCAAATAATTCAGTGTTGATGGGCTTACTATAACAATTTAGGGAGACGGAAAGGAATGAATCATTGATAGTGTCTCCCGACCCGACCTCCCTACAGAGTGAAACGAAGTAACTTCCCCTATATTCTTGTTCTCCGTCCCTGCCCTCTTGTTCTTCACCCCGCCCTGATACTCCCTGTCTCAATCTACCATGCGATGCATTGTGAGCAGCGAACTTTCCTTTAAATATCTTCAAATTATATTTTTTTACTGATAATGACTTAATAATCTTTATATGATACGGCTTGATGCTATACGTGAAAAAAGCTTATGAAATACAAGTACAAAATATAAACAATAGTGAAAACTACTCTGAAACCCACTTGGAACTTCTCATAATTTTACAAACAAGTAGACATGACAAATAAGTAGACGCGAACGGGAATTTTGTTTTAAATTTTAGAATAAATACATCATTAAAAAAATTGTATTTGAATGGTTATATACCATACAAACATCTTTTGCTTGTATATAATTTTTTGCTTATATTTTTCTTCAGAGAGTGGAAAGATAGCGCTGCGCTACTGGTCGTGAAGCTCCTCCTCTCACGAAAGACAGAAGAAGTGCGTAGTGCGAGGTGCTCCGCTGGGCGCACGCCCCCGCGCCTTCCGATGTTGCAATACTTACAGAATTCGATTCTTTTGCTTTCGATATCCCAAGTAACGTTGCTGTTGAATGGATAATATCATGGTACCGATACCAAAGGCGCATTGTCGGTTTCGAAAAACACTGAAATCGATTTTTACAAATGTCTGAACATTTCAAATGCTCTCTTTACAGAGGTTGTCGCACTTCATTTGGATAATCGTCAGAAAGTAAATAAATGAAGATATCTGAATATTTAAATGAGAAAAAATATGTTATAGAAAGAAAATATAAATTTAGAATATTTATAGATATTTGTTAAAAATTCTTGAAGTGTTTAAATATTGTAAAATTACATTATTTCCGTATTTGGTCGTGTATCGGCACCAAGTATTGGGAGATGTGAAGCATCATAAAATTCTTAACTCCGCAGGAAGCCTACAGTTGACCGTTAACCGCTGACAGTGGACGAGTCTTCAGTACTCGACCCCACCGGATTCCTTCGTCACTATAACAGGCACGTTAGGCTTCCAGAATACTTTTAGGATCACTTTGAATCCGAATCGCTCGCACATTCACAGCTGCCAGCAGGCTCCGGTATTCCACTCATACGATTTAGAGAAAACGATCTTAGACCTGTGCAACGCATAATTTCCAACGCATTTTAATGAAATTGCGAATATAGCACATGTCGTGGTTCTATGACACATAATTTCTCTTTTCATGCTAGCAGTTATCAGTGGCATAGCTTCGTTGGTATATCCCGGGCAAAACTAATAGTATCTCTCCCCCGCATAAATTAGATGTAAAAATATATATTACTGAATAATTTATACATTATTTAATAATATTGAATATAATTATATTTGCCAAGATATTTATTTTCAATATATTAAATTTCTTCGTATGTACGATTTAAATGTATTTCTATTAAATTTATGTATCATATATATATATATATATATATATATATATATATATATATATATATTGTAAAAATTAAAATTATATAATTCCAACTATAATTTTTTTAAAATTGGTGTCACCCTGTCCCCCGTAACCACAACACTAACAGTTATGTAGTATTATAATAATGTAACTTCAGTCCTTCAAACACTTCCACTATCACTTTAAAAACTCAAATGATATAACTCTATCTTACGCGGAAAAAACGAATATTTTGAAAAAAAGGATAAAAAAGCTTCACGAAATGATTTAAAGATCTCAGCGATAGTAGTCTTTTGGTATCGACACTACGATATTATGCATTGAAGAGTATCGCTGCCGGAGGCATCGGAGGCCGAAGAACCGAGCCCTGCCCTCGCGGACTCACCCCTTGCCCGCGGCGGGGGCGGGACTGAAGGGCGCGAACGCGGGCTGCACGGGGCCCAGGTTATAGGCGGAGCCTTGGCCGTAGGCGTAGCCAGGGCTCTGGAAGGCGTTCGGCGGCCCTGCCATGTGCACCGTCGGCACCACGCCCACCGACGAGTTGCTCCAGTACACGGCCGGCATGGCGCCAGATCACCTTCGCACACACACGCTCACTTTCCCAGGGATCGTTCTCTCTTTGTGAAGGAATATTGAAGGTGTTTCCATATTGACGTTGAAAAGGTTGCAGGAGTGACTGATACTTTGCAGTGATCATACCTTCATCAGCAACCGTTTTCGGTACAATATGTTTAGTTGCAGTAATGAGTTATTAAACGTACGTACTGAAGTAGAACTCCCAACCAGCTCATAACGCACAAAAACCCGAATTGAATGAAAGAGGTTGCAGGTGTATTGCAAATTGCAATTATCGTTATGCCGCAGCACTGCAAGAGTTGCAGAGGAGATGCGAAAATTAAAAGGGAATTCGCCCGACAGCTCGGTTTGCAGCCGTGACTGCAAATACCGCCAACGAAAGGGTGAGATCGAGAACGAAAGGGTGAGAATCTTGAAAATATTCCATTCTACAAAAAGCTTCTTATAAATAACTCACCATTATCACATTTGACATTAACAGTGAATTCATTTGAAATTTATGAAAGGAATAAATGTGGTTGTAGAAATATGCTATCGAGCCAGAAACTATCCGTCTTTAGAGGTAATTTATTGGAGAGGGCTAAATTCCACTTACAAGTATCAACGACTAAATCGTTATTAAAGGACATTTAATTAAAAACTAAATGAAACTTCACACATTTTTTCAAAATTTAAATTTTATATTTGAATCGAATTTCTAGGGGTGCTGCGTGAGATTAGTTGAGTTTTAATTACCGTGATCATAGCGTAAATATCTTGACTACACGAAAAGCTTACAATATCGAAAATATAACTGTATATTAATTAACAATTAATTATTTAAACTATAGAATGGTAGCGAGAAAAATCGGTAACACCGGTTTTGCCAACATTCACTAGGGATGCTGATGCAAAACCAACGGAGTACATGGATGTAATATAACAACCAGCGTGTTGTGCAAAACACAGCAACTGTAAAAGCTATATTCTCCAAAACAATAATAATAGGGGGGTTGTATTGCCAATACCGAGAGTGGTTGCCTGCCAACTGATAACTCGAAGGAAAGGAAGAAAGATCTACATGTTTAAATTTTAAAATACGAAGTTCTACCTATAACCTTCGACCAATGAGAACGACAAAATGGATTGTAAATGATATCGTAATGTATTCTAGCAGTTCGGCAATAATCAAACTACCTTTATTATTCTCAAAGATTTTCGGATTTGTGTACCACCAATAAATGATTACGCCACACATATTTTTTTCATAATTTTCATTTTAACGTGTTTTCTTCTCCTTAACTAAAAAAATGCAAATTCAACTTACAATTGCGCTATTACTCATGAATAATAAAGTAAATGAAGACGTTTGTTAATTTATTAAGATTTTATTAACCATGCAAATAATTTTTTTCTACGACTATATGAAAAAGGGCTCTTTTGTAGTCACCGTGAAAAAAACTTTATGCAAGGAAATGTAACAAAGTAAGCAGTCAAGGTTTCGCATTCATGGATCTATAATATAATATACTGCTTTCCCCGAAGTGTGAAACATCTTATTCCAATATAAAATTATCAAATTTTATCCAAAATAACTCTTATACAGTTACAGAAAAAGTGTTTATATTTCGTGCAATTAATATGAAAATAACTATTATAAGTTTATTTGCAGCCGTGATATTAAACAAATGCAATTTTGGGCTGTTTGGGCCCGTGTGCAACGACACCATCTGCCATTTGAAAGTCCGAGAAGCTTTTCAAAAATTCACGCAGGAATCGTATGATGATTAGTTGATAAAGTCAAATTTCCTTATCTCTAATTAGCACTTCAATGAAATAGTATTACTTTTTTACTAAATATATACGAAGTACTTTTTCACATTCGACATTCTAATAATGATAACGATCATCAACGCTAAACGTCTGTCCATTAATAGTTTTCGAGCACGACACGTTTTCAGCACATACATTTATGATATTAACAAATCTCCTTTTTTGTAAAATTTCTTGATATCACTGGCTTCCAGTTGATATTCTCTTTTCAATGATGTTAATATTTGCTTCTAGGTTCGTCTTCTGATCCACACGAAAGTATTCACTATTTTTACTCACGGAGTTTCTTCTTATGGAGTCACTTTGTATCTTCTTCACTCATTTCTTAGTGGTGAAGTCACTTTGCATCTTGGTTTTCAGCAAAACCTGACTTCCCCTTCCTATTAAAATGTAAAATATGGAATGATTCGTATTAATTTCTGTCGAAATGGTGGGTCAATTAAAAAAAATTATAAAAGTAGTCACGTCATTAGTTCATAAATTCTTCGAGTTTTATTTTCATTTGTACGAGTGCAGTAATTATAGACATATTTGTTGAATCGCTGGCTCTATTTTGAGCTGTGTAGAAACGGAAAATGTATGCGATAATGGATTTTCCCAGTAAGAAAATAAAACAACTCTATGTAATTGTAATAATTTTTCTCACGGTATTAGAAAACGTAACAGCGTGTTAATTAAAAGTGCTAATTTTACTGTACGCTTTACTCTTAAGGTAGAAGGTACAGTTATCTAAGCTGCTATTGGTATCTAGTTATATTGTGCGATTCTAGAACATTGTTTTCTACGGCTTTCAATTAAAAAAAAAAGTTTATATGCGGAAATATTATACAACATGTAAAAAAAATTCCAAGTCGTGAAATTCCCGAAGCACTAACAGTACCTGCTGCGGCGACCGAAGCGAAGGAAGGCAAGGAGTACTCGCTCTGGCGGAGTGGAGTGACGGCGAGCGGCGGCGGTGGTGGCGGCGGCGGCGAGTGTCTGCGCGACTGGCGGGCGCGCGGGCGGGCGCCTGGTTATACCACCTGCCGCGATAGCGTTGATAACAAGAGGCTCGCGCGAGCGAGTGCGTCAGCGCTCGGCGGGCGCGCGCTCCCTGGAAGCTGTCGACGTCCAAGCCCCGCTGCCGCCGCCGCCGCCGCCCGGATGTGCGGTTCGCTCAACTTCCGCAGGCGTTTTGCATCGACGATGACGAGACTCCCATTGCGCAACACGCGGTGGCGCCGTCTTACACTTCGGGTGCGTTTTCACAACTAAATCACTGGTGGACCCACTGGGGGGGGGGGGGGTATGCCCCACCCCAAAAGCCAAGAGTCTTCGTTAGCTTCCTCTATTGATTGGCAAAATTGATTTACATATTTATTTACGTTCGAATGATGTAATTATTTAAACAACAGTATGGTTTAGTATGAAATATGCTGTTATTATATTACATTATAAATAATATAATGACACATATGTTTATTATTTAACAAAAAATATACGATGCCCCCCTCCAAATGATTGGCTGGATCCGCTCCGTCCGGCTTGGCTCGTTCTTAACGCACCTCATCCTTCACAACGCCTTCTTCTGAACACAACGCCTCCTACTTGGCACAACACTCTCTCTTTCAGATGAATGTTCCACTTCAATTCACCGTTCCACTTCAATAAACATAACTTCATGAAATTCCGAAATCAATTTTATTTGTATATTTGAATATATGTTATGATTAGATGTTATATTTCATTATTTATTTAATATTAATTCAAATGTGGTAGTGAAAATCCGAGATTCATTTTTGATCAATTGAACATTCATTAATAGTTTGATATTAATAAGATGGTAAATATGAATACAAATTGTGAAGATGTTAGTTTATCATAAATTCTCAAGCGCTTGTTCTTAATCTTCACACTCGTGGACACTTCCTCTTCAAAGCGAAAATATCATTTATTGCCCCTTGGGAGCGGAGCTGTGAAATGCAGGTGAGAGCGGGTACCCTCGCCTGGTGGGAAGTTTCTACATCCATTACGCTGCCAAAGACAGTGGCAAACGTATTCAAAATCCGGATTTTCTAATCTCAAAAAATCCAAAGAATATGATTCTCCTCCAGCCAGTTTGACAGAGAAAGGGACGAAAACCGCGAGCAGTTCGGATTCAGGGAATGGGAAAGGGGAATCATGGAGAGGGACCTGATTTGGAAAATGCCCAATGGAGACTGAAATGCGGGATGCGGCAGAAGCCGTAGTGCCCTGGCTTTATGATGAAATATCCAGAATCAAATACGGTCCAACTGTTTTTCAAAAACGAATGACCTTGCTGGCTGAACGGCGAGCCCGCAAAGACACTTCCGCTCCTCGTGGTGAGAGTGCGTGCTGGCGTACCTAGCACACCTCACGTGCTCCGCTTCCTCCGCCACGTGGTTATGCGTCAAGTTGTGGCGATCGCGCACGCGTAGTGCAGCGATCCACCGAATCATCACTGAGCCGCGTCTGGCGAAGGGGCAATGCTGTTGGCGCAATTTCTGCGGAGCTTTTCTAAGTATCGGATAAAGACACATGTTTCCGTAACCATAGCAACACTAGGACTCAAAAAGTGCAATTAAAGGGAGGGGTTTAAAACCATTAGCTGGCCCCGTTTGTAACACCCAACGCTTCCTGGCGTGAAATGGAAGCTTTTTAATTTCGAACCCTTCCTGTCTTCCCATTTAAAAAAAGTTTCTTAATTAAACATTCTGTGCAATTTTACGTATTTTTAATACACTTTTTCAGTTTACTCAATAAACTAATTAATACAAGAATGTGATGAAAACAATTATTTTTTCTCAAATACCTTCTCCGTGTTCACTCTTGCACAGTAGTGAGAAACCCTTTACGCCCAAAAATTAAAGGGAAATGTATATGTTGAATGGCTCCTCTCGACTGATTTGCCATGCTTCTGTTATTTGATTTGCATTTGATCTGGCGTGGATAACAGTGATACTGAAATTTATTAAAGTTTAAAAATGGTTATGTTCTGTATTGAAAGTAGCAACCAACAAAAAATGAAGTTATGTTCTTTTTTATTATGAATGTCTAACGATTTTTTTATACTTTTACAGCAATGGTATTTCACGTAAATTGCTTTGATTTTATCTGCTAATTAGCCGACGCAATACCTTCCTTTCATGGTACTCTTTGCTTTAGAAGCTATTGAATGATCAAACACAGAAGTTAGCTCACCATTTAAATGTTATATCACTGACAATTATTAAATAGTTTATAGCTGGGCAAAAACACGTTTTCATGCCTTTTCAGTTTTTATTGTTCATGAAACCAAATTATAGTTATTATTATTATTGATACTTTAAATGGAATGTTCTGGGTGATATTCCTTAACGATACAGGGCATAATGAGTAGATAAAACGGTCTTTATTTTTTCCATTCTCAAGCTTCCTCGGGCCCTGGACTTGATATTTACAGACACGAGATAGCGATACGCAGAGGCAGAAAGCACGAACAGACTTTCGAAACGGCTACTAGTTGTATCCGGCCCCACGAGAAATACACTTATTTTTAAGTAATTTTAAAACCACGTTACTAGAAGGCATTAACAATTACAATCAACAGGCACAAATTCAAAAGTCAAGTGAAATCTATTCTGGTGCAAAACTATTTTACTTTATTAGAGACTGTAATGTGAATTAAAAACGAATATAATATTTGTATTATAGTGATTATGTTAGAGCATTAGATGTGATTTTTATATTCTAAAACGCTGTTTCTAACAACTCTTGTAACATGCTTATAGCTCTTTGACCCTTATATTGGATGGGATTTTCGTCCAGTAATGTTCCAGTAATGGTAAAATGCTCGGTTAGCCCTTTGTTTATTTATTTATTTATTTATTTTGGAAAATTCCCCCACCAACATTTCGCGTAGATATTTTC